AAAAAAAAATCTCATTGTTGCTTTAATTTGTGTTGAAGAAGCAGCACAGCCTCGTGGCTGAGAGTGCAGGTCCTGAGCCAGGCTGAATTCTGACTCCATCGCTTCTCACCTTAGGGAAGTTTTTGTTAAGGTGAGTTACTTAGGGAAGATACTTCTCAGTTTCCTCTCTTATAAAATGAAGATAATAGTATCTTCCTCATGAAGTCATATACAGATAGAATGTCTGGTACATTCATGTGCTCATAAGTATTATGTGGCATCATTACTGTTAGTCCCTGACTGCTGGCGAGACCTCTCTGCTCTGGCCCCTTTCACTTCAGGGCCACTTTGCTTTCTTTCCTGCTCTGCTTTCAGTCTCATAGCAGGCCTGTGAGGTTGTCCTTATTTTACAGGCGAGAAACCGAAAGATGGTGGACACAGGGTAAAAGGGCAAAAGGGAGCAGCAACGGATGGCTCACAGCAGCCCTGCAGGCTGTCTATGGGCTGAGTCAGTGGAGAAAATTTTTTTTGTACTTGTCATTTCTATATTCGTCATTTTTATAATATATACTGGTGGTAAAAAAAAAAAAATCAAAACTGGCCACAGTGGCACGCGCCTGTAGTCCCAACCACTCAGGAGGCTAAGGCAGGAGGATCACTTGATTCCAGGAGTTTGAGGTTACAGTCAGCTATGATTGTGCCACTGCACTCCAGCCTGGGTGGGTGGCAGAGAGAGACCCTGTCCTCCCTACCAAAAAAAAACTCAACAAAAACATATAAAGAATTTTCTTCCTTGTTACCCATGCCAATATTCATCTCTCGGACAAAACTAATTTTTATAATAACTTGTTTATAGGAAATATAGTATATTAAATTCTTAATAGTATGAGTATGTGTGTATATCTACATACATATATATGCATATATGTTTTTTAACTTCTAAATAAAATATAGATCATCCTCATTATATTTTTAACTCATTCATTGTTTCTCATTATTTTTAATGACCAGGTAGTATTCCATGAATGGATGACCCAAAATTTAATCAAATTAATCTATTAAAGAATAGATTAGTAGATAATGTACAGAAAAGTAAAGGTACTTTTTTTGGTTCATTTTCACCAAACCTTTGAATCTATATTAAAAAGTATAAAAGAAATGATTAGAGAAATAGAATCATAAGAATATTCTAAAGCAAAAGCTTCCCAAATCATTATGTTTCTTTTGCCTTGGAAAAGTGGCTTAGAAAACCTCTGGTCTATCTAAGTTAGGCCCTTAATAGGAGGTCTGAGGAACTCTGCCCCAGCGGAGAAGTATCTTGGATGTGGTTGTCTTAGCTCTTGTGTTATGTGTCCTATTGTTTAATTTTTCTAAACTGAGTCCTAAAATATCTGAAAATTCGAATATTTTGCAGTCCTCTGGTTCATTTACTAAAAGAGGGCCCTGTTAGGTTGCAAGTGAATACAGATTTGCTGCCCTGCTGTTCAGGACACCATGCTGAACTGACTCGATTGGAATTGTCTACTGGGTTTCCTTGTGTGTCACTTCAGTTGTGTGCAGCAGTAGTTTCAAACTTATAATTTCCTGCTTATCAAGATTTCATAAACCCTGGGGCTATATTCTCATCAGTATGCATAGTTTAGTGATTACAACTTTGTTCTTGAAACATTAACCCTTCGTAGGCTCGACAGGACTAGAATATATTGCAGAATCACAAGTAATCACTGCTGTCCTCCAGGTCTCCATTGAAATTATGGGTTTTTGCTTTGGTGTTTGGATCTTCTCAAAGAGAAGTTTTTGATTCCATACTAGTCAAAGGCACATGTCCATTACTCCCCTGACCCCCAGTTCTGAAGAGGAAAACAAACCCTTAGTGATCAGGGATTAAGCCCCTGTGATTTATTTAAGCCTTGGAACTTCACTGAGATGGTTGTTCTGTTTCCATGTAAATAACTGGAGTCACCCAGAACACTCCTTGGAAATGCCTGTATTGAGGGAAAGTATAAAGAATTCTGTGGTTTGGGTATGAGCTGTTCTTGAGTCTACAAGTTGGTAAATCTGTGGACTATTTCCCAGCCTTCGTCTTATTGGTGAGAAATTAGGCCTGACCAGCGTCATGGGCTACCTCCTCCCGCAGAAACCACAGCCCGAGCCCACAGGCTCCGCCAGGAACGCGAGGCCAGCTGGCAGCACCCGGCAGCACTGTGAGTGGGTCATTTGTTCATCCCACAGACCTGTATTGCAACGTTATTTCATTATTAAATGCAGATAATTAAATCAGGATTGCTACCTTAGCAGCGGTCTAGTTTCAGGGTTGATGTTCTCAGCGAAATACATCAATATTTAAAACAAAAAAAAAAAACCCCAAACCCAACTCTTTAGTATTTAGGCCACTCAAGCCTTTAAAGCATGGCCTGTCCCACAGCTAGGTCTTGAGAGTGGCAGAAAGGCAAGGAAAATATGAAGGACGAGAAGGCTTAGGAAGGGCTACCATTGTGGCTTACCCCTCTTACCATGCCTTTGCTTACACCTTTTAAAAAATAACCTTAAAAAAAGTATAAGTAATAAGTGTTCATGTAAAAAAATAAGAGTATAAGCATACAATGAAAAATGAACACGTCCCCTCCCTACCCATCCACGCCGGAACCCAATTATACTCTCTTTATATATTCTTTGAGATATTTTCTATGCATGTACAGGTGTGCTACATGCTTTTTTTTTTTTTTTTTTGAGACAGTCTTGCTCTGTCTCCTGGGGCTGGAGTGCAGTGGCGTCAGTCATCACAGCTCACAGCAACCTCAAAGTCCTGGGCTCAAGCGATCCTCCTGCCTTAGCCTCTGGAGTAGCCAGGACTACAGGTACACACCACCACGCCCGGCTAATTTTTTCTATTTTTAGTAGAGATGGGGTCTTCCTCTTGCTCAGGTTGGTCTTGAACTCCTGAGCTCAAGCAATCCTCACGCCTCGGCCTCCCCGACTGCTAGGATTACAGACCTGAGCCACCCCACCCAGCCACTT